CCTCTGCTGGAATGTTATCTGGTCCTGCTGCTTTGCCGTTCTTGATTTGTCTGATGGCTATACTGATCTCCTCAATCGTAGGTGCGCCAACATCAATTGGGAGGTCCGCTGATTCTGCTTCGATGTTGGGTATGTTCAGTGGAGCTGGTCGATTGAGGAATTCCTGAAAGTGCTCTACCCACCTATTTCGCTGTTGTTCAGTGTTGCTGATTACTTTGCCTTCCTTACTTTTCACTGGTGGTTCAGGTTTTCGATAGTTTCCGGCGAGCTTCTTTGTTGTTTCGAACAATTGTCTGAAGTTTCCGTCTCTTGCAGCCTTTTCCGCCGTCATTGCTAGATCCTCCACATATTTTCGTTTGTCAGCTCTGATGCTCTTCTTCACTTCCCTGTTAGCTTCTGTGTATTCAGCTTGTGCCTTAACTTTCTCTGCTCTTGTTCGGCTGACATTGATTGCTGCCCTCTTGTTCCTCCTTTCTTCAATTTTTGCAAGAGTATCAACAGAGATCCATTCCTTGTGATAGTACTTCGTGTGACCCAGAACTTCGTGACATGTTGAAGTGATTGCCTCCTTGATCCCTTTTGGCGACCAGCAAGTGGTGGTTTGAGGCTATATCAGCTCTTCTCTTCGTTATCTCATCCTCCATAGTCCTTCTGAACGTTTCGTTGATACAGATATGATCAATTCGGTTCTGAGTAGTGTGGTCCGGTGAGATCTATGTGGATTTGTGTATGCGTTTGTGTGGGAATATTGTGCCACCGATGACCAATTTGTTGAAGGCACATAGGTTTGCAAATCTCTCACAGTTTTCGTTCCTTTCTCCCAGTCCATGTCGTCCCATGATGTCTTCATATCCAGTGTTGTTCATGCCAACCTTAGCATTCAGGTCTCCCATAAGAATCGTCAAATCCTTTGGTGAACATTTCTCGACGATTGACTGCAGCCTTTCGTAGAATTGATCTTTAAGGTGGTCATTGTAGTCATTGGTAGGTGCATAACATTGGATGACGTTCATTGTAATGTCCTGTTTCTTTGTTTTGAAGGATGCTTTAATGATCCTGTGTCCATGAGATTCCCATCGTATCAGTGCCTTTTGTGCATGTTTGGACAGCATCAGTGCAACTGTTTGTGTATGTGAAGCATTTCCCTGTTCATGGCCAGAGTATAACAGCTGTTCGACTGAAGCTAGTCTCAGTTGTCGTACCTGTGTCCAGCGTGTTTCACTGATGCCGAGCACCTCGAGGTTGTATCTTTTCATTTCTGCCGCAACTTGAAATAGTCTTCCATTCTCCCACAATGTACGAATGTTCCATGTAACCAAAAGAATGGTTGGTATGGTTGTGAGAAGAGGCATCGGTCCCGTGACTTCCGAGGGAACTCGACTTTTATCACGCGACGTCATAGTTCTTCTTCCAACTTTTAGGGCATAGTTAAAATGGTTTGAATTATTTTTTCTGGTTAGCGTTTTTTGGCAAGTTAGTATATAATTGAGATGGGTGCGCCAACCCCATGCCCAACGCTTCCCCCTTATCCGAGCTTGGGACCGGCAGTAGCCCCTAAGATTCTACTGGCGGAGTTGATGTTACAATTGACTACTGAAAATAAGCATTCCTATATGGATATCATCGATAATAGCACCACAAATAAGGTAAAATTGAGATGATCATATATCTGGTTGCTGGTAATCATAGAAGTATCGTAACTTATCTCGTTTTTAATGGTGAGTCATTGGATCCCCACAATGCTCAAACAATATTCAACTATTTTACCTTGAATATCTTTTGAATGAAATATAAACTACTCATAAGTAGTATAATATGTTTTGTGTTATTTGCATGAATATCTTCGAAATCTCTGTAAATAAATGTAAATTTTTATCCATTAGTTCTCTGGAAAGAATATTCTGGTTTTTCATCTTCCCCTCACCTTATATTTCAAGAAAATAATTGTCTATATCTTCGAATTAAAATCCAAAGGCCAAATTTTATACTGTTCTTTAAGTTTAATATCACTTCCGTATTCTTTACGTCGTCGTAGACTTACTCTCATCACAACTGTTGTTAAAGTGCAGTCGTACTAGTAAAAATTTATTAAGATATTTATCAAATGAATAAGTATAAATCTTAACTACAGGTATATTGTGCTAGAAAAATTCAAGGCAAGTAAATAGTGTTGTCACTGGTTATTTTACTCTGCAGCACACTAGCTAATATTACTCATTTTTTTATTGAACTTATATTTTATACTTGTTATAGTTATACGAATAATTAACTTTTAGCTTTACCAAAAAGCAAATTTTACATATTGTAATGAATGACACCTAACAGATAGATCTGTATCAAATATCACAGTCGTAACTCTATTTTACAAAACGGCTTTTCTATTACTATGATCTGCACGAACTTTTATAATAAACGATATATTGAGCGATGGTTTTCGTGAACCGCATATCTACTCTGCTTGCAATCTTGAAGTTAGCACCTCACTAGCCACACAAAAATCTCACCTACAACTTCTGCAGACGGAGATCGAATCCAAGACCTTCGGTCTCATGAATCGATCAAGCCGTAATCATCGGTGTTCAATTCTATTGGGTGTGATAGGCAGTTACCCACCGAAGATAATAGGTGCGATCACGGTTGAAGTTAGTCATTAACACCTTTAGATGCTTTCTCAGTGCACAAGACGTTTGGTGTTCATTCACGAGACCAAATGTTCTTAGTTCAACTTCAGCATGCGAGGGTTGAGTTGATACGGTTTGATGAGTTTCATACTAAGGACGAAATATCTATCCAATGGTCAATTCATAATTTTATTAGAATAAAGATAAACTGCTCAATAAAAATCTTTTCACAAAGAAAACAGTGTCAGTGCTGCTGTACAAGCTTTTATATAAATGAAAAAGTACATACTGTTAAAGACCAGTTAATTTACTGTTGTTATTATTGTAAAATAATAATACACTGCATACATATTTATACTACTGATTAGAATTTGTTTTGCATTAAAATAGGAAATCAACCATTTTTATTATTGTGTCAGTCAATTTCCGGAGGAAATTTTACATGTTAGACAATACGTCATATTGTTAAATAATGCTAACAATAGCAAAAATATGTTGATTAAGTTTGCTAATTTTTACTTAACGAAGTTAAAATTGAATAGATCTAAAATTTCAAAGAAACTGAATGAAAAAAATTACAAAAATTTGGATTCGGAACATGAGTTGCTACTTTCAGATTTCTAATTTGTGGTCTAACAGTGTAAAAACACTGATCTTCATAATTCTAATTGAAAAAATTTATATATTACTGAGATTATCATTTAGTTGAAGATAATTAATATCTTTAGTGCTAAGAAAATGCTATCTATAGATTTTAGTCGTCAATTGGTCAGGATTGTAAGACTATGTTGTGTTCCACATTTCAGTAAATTTACTCAAACTACAACATAATCTACCGTCAAGTTAAGCATCTGAATACTTCCACTAAAGTAATCAGACCTTAATAAATCACATTTTATGCTAGAAGGCTTGTTTTTGTGGTCAACCAGATTGTGAATTGAATACGTATACAAAACTTATTACAGATAGATGCTAGGAAAGCCTTAGATGATGTTAGATGGACTTATTATCATGTGACAATGAGTCAAGCGGTAGAAGAAGGTAGGTGAAATCGTTAAACATCCTATCCTGTATAAATATCATTCATAATTTTAATCGACTTCTAGTTAGCACTGGTTTACATCTGTATTCTAGTCTTTCATTTGTCGCCGATTGCTATTCTCCATTTTATGATGAAATTTATTGGTTCTCTCTTGAAATTAGTTGGACAAACTCTGAAGACACAAAAAACACTAGATGGTTAGGACCTTTCAACTTTGTGTATTTAGAACTTCATTAATATCAAAACTATGCGTTAAAGGTCTGATACATAAATTAACATCAGTCAGTTAATGAGTGACAATCTATCAGTCGTGCTTCAGTTAACTCTCCGTACTGAACTATGACTACTTAATGTCATTGGTAAAGATCAAACTCTATTCTCGTTGAGGATGTTAGATCCCCAGAACTCGCTTGATAAACGCTTTGTCTTGGATTTCACGTTTGCGAGCATAGGCTGATCAGTTGACCTTGAGGTTTCATCTCCCATCAGGAAAATCCATGGCTGTGATTGGCTGTTGTGTATTTTAGTGTGCTCTTTTCGTAACTGTCCCAAGGACGTTTCTATGATATATAAATAAACGAGAGTTGTATGCTTGATTGTATTGTCCTTGCTGGGTGTTTGCAGAATATACTTCTACGCTTACAAAGCCTTTTATTTTGACTTTGGGTATTCAAGGTAGCCTACCTGAACGCTGGTTCATTGTCTCATTAGCGTTTATCGACTAAGGTGAACTCGTAATAGCTTCAAGCGTACCTAGTGATGAACTTAACAATGCTGACGACTTCATGAGTAACAAAAGATTGTCGGTTCATATGTGTGAATAGATCACCAATGTATACTTGAAAATCATTTAAATAAACACCATATTATGATTTTTAACATATAAAAAGACATCATACAGATATTCATTTATTAGACATGTCACATTGACCCATTAACCACTTCTCAAAACTGTTAACACGATTATATTTTCAATTTTCTTCCTGTTTGTATTATATGACCTATAACATCTCCCTGCTTAAACGAATCGCAAAACATACTGGCATTAAGCATGAAGTTTCATTGGTTGGTGGTGACCAGTTATACATGAGACTTTGTTGACTAAGAATTTAAGCACTAACATGAAGATTATTGGATAAAAGTCTTTTCGTACATTATTTATAAGCCACTAGAAATAAATGTAAAATTTATTTACTAACAAAAACCACAATCGGAATAAAATCTTTCAATATCATTGAATATTATTCAATTATACACAAAATAATATATATATGATTATATAATCTTGAATTTGAAATAACTAGCTAGAAAAAGGCCTATTTAAATCATAAGATAAAATGACTCTCAGCTTATGTAAACTTTGTGTTATTTACTTGGTGAATTCTTCAATTGACAATGAAATGGAGACTTTCGTGGAACAGAATCCAACAAGCAAAATACTAATCACATTCATCTCTGTAACTGTAGCAGTTATCATATTTTTTGGAAATCTTTTAGTGCTACTTGCATTTGCATTAACAAAAAATCTTCGACGTGAAATTGATTTATACATTGCTTCACTTGCAATGGCTGATTTTCTCTTGTCAATTCTAATTCTACCATTAGCAATTATACGTCAACATGTAGGCTATTGGCCATTTAATTCTAATTTAATCTGTCAATATTTTATGTCTGGTAATTTTCTACTTTGTTTAGCTTCAGTGCTTAGTTTATGTTGTATATCTATTGATAGATACATAGCAGTTACTCGACCATTACAGTATAATAGAACTCGTAATCACTCACGACCATTGTACATGATATTGGGTGTATGGTTGTTGGCATTTACTTCAATAGCTTTGCCATATGTTTTCGGTTATCAACACTATTATACTGGAAGAGCATGTTATTTGAGTTATAATACTAGTATCAGGCTATACATAGCTGTATTCGTTTGGTTTATACCATTTCTGATCATAGGATTTGTTCATATGTTGATATTTCCTATTGTAAGACGTCATTCACTGCGACATCGACATTTGATCAAAGCTCATACACTTATCCTTCATCAAAATGAATCACAACACAATCGGCGACAAACAGTAGAGTTGTTAATGACTTCTTTACGTAAACTTAGCAGGAAAACTTCAGTTCTTACTGAATCTCCACTAAGTGATCTCGATGTATTCACCAATTCATTGATGGTTCGTTTCAAAATACTCTGTAAAATGTCTATCAGTGATAAATTGAATGATAGTTTGGAAAGATTATTCAAACATCGTATAAATCACAATCACTCTTCACAAATATCCGATCATATGCATTCTAAAGCAGTAAACCATTCAGGAAAGGAAATTCGATGCTTGCATTCCAGTTTACCATCATCTGTTTCCCTTGAACCGAATATAGATGAAAATCTTATACTATCAAATGAAATAGAAGAAAGTAAAAACACCAAAGAACAACCCAGTCTACAATGTATACAGAAATGTAACCAAATGTATCAGGATAAAAGTGAGAATGTATTGAAATTGCAATACACTGACTCTACTGATGATAATCTAAATAGTTGTGGATCATATTCTATTTCTGAAAATACTCGCCAGCTTAAATTGAATGGTTTTAACCTCTTTGTGGCCGCCGATAAGACAGAGAAACAATTTTCTCAACCATTCATCGACGGGAGTAAAGAAAATAATTTCTCTCTTCCAGAATACATTCAACATCGGGCTACATTTCGACGAGAATTGAATGCATTACAAATCATGTTAATAGTGACTAGTTGTTTCTTCATTTGTTGGTTGCCTTTTCTTTTCATACTTTTGGGAGAACTTAGTTGTCGATGTGTGTTTCCAGAGGTTATACATGTATCAATTTCATGGTTATTATATTTAAATAGTTGTTGTAATCCATTTATCTATGCTTTTCGTAACGAACGCTACGCTAAGGCATTTCGACAACTTTTAGGTACAGAAAACTGTCATCGAAAGATAAAACTGGTCAAGAGTTAAAGAATTAATTTATCAACCAATCAAAAGTATTCATTTTGTTTTCATAATAATAAAATTATTTAACTAGAAAACACATTCGTTTTCATAATTTATTTACGTGTTTAGACTATTGTATTTGTAGGTGATCTGTCGAAGTGTGATCTAAAAAATCAATTACTTGGATAGTTGAATGACTATATAGCCACGAATTGTTTTGAACTGCCGAAGGATTTGAAATAAAAGTGACTACATTTTGAAGACAGTCAGTATACTAACGGAGGATTTGTAACTTATTACTAGGGAAATCAACGTAATGAAGAAAGCGAGTTCAATACAGGTGAGACGATATACTGTTATCATATATGTATTGTGATCCCATTTCTCAACAGAGGTGAATCCATTCAGTGATTGATATCTGTGACTAGAAAAAACATATGACATCATATCAATCTGTAGGGAAAATTCAATTATTTATGAAGCAACTCATAGCATAATTCCATTTCACTGATAATATAAGTGGATTTTAATTGGACAAGTTTTCAGAAACTATGAACAATGAGACTATGTAATGTATTGGATTAATTGAAATTTTCAAGTGAAAGAAACATACTACTTAAGTAGAATGAGAATTATTTACTTGTGTTATGCATAGTTGTGAAGCTGGTTTCACGATAATTCATATCAATACATTAATGTCATAAGTGAATATAAATTAGACATTAAGTTTCACACCAAAACTCTATCCATTATGTGGAGTGATGATGAGACAGTTTAAATGAATAACTTGCGGCGGTGGATATTCGATATAATTCCTCAAATATTTCGTATAATGCTCGTGTTGATAACTGTTACTAGATAATCACCCAACGGTGTATACAATTCAAAAGATAATTTTTATGAAGTGTTGATGACGTTTATTGACGCACAGCACCGATCACAAAAGCACAAGCATACGAAGTGAAAATGAAAGGATATGCAAATATCGAAGGCAGAATCAATAAGATTTAAACACACAAGAATCAATGAGTTACCGAATTATTTAAACGACCAACATTAAGGCTAGTAGAATGAATATGTGTGTTGACTGTAACCAATGTTCAAGCATACATGCTCAAACAAACGCGACAATAATAAAAGTACATACGTATAGACAAGCTGTTGTTGTCGTTCGAATGATGCTATCTTTAAATAAGTTATCGAAATTTCTTAACCAAATTAAGCGTAAACAAACTCAAATGTATGTGAGGTACCATAAACTGCTAGAGGAATATCTAGTACAGTCATTATTTTGTGTAGATAAGATTTTTCTTGATACTTTGCATACAGTCTGCTTTATGCTTACTTCTTTTCGCTTGTTGCTCACACTGAAGCATAGGCCGCCGACTAACATTCTCCAACATACTCCGTCCTGGGTCTTTCGTTCTAGTTCGATCCAACTGTTGTTCATTCTTTTCTTGTCTATTTCCAGTTCTCGGTGCAATGTGTTCTTTGGTCTATCTCTTTTCTTTTGACCTTGTTGGTTCTAAGTGAGCACTTGTATTGTGACGCAGTTAAGTGCTTTTCGCACTGTGTGTCCTATCCACTTGGTGATTTCTTCCTCAGCTAGAATTTGGTTTGTTCTCTTCTACGGTAGGTTGTTATTGATAGTGCCTGGCCAACGGGTCCTCAGCATGTTGCGTAGACAACTGTTAATAAACACTTGTATCTTTTGGATGATGACTTTCAAAGTTCTCTAAGTTTTTACCCCATACACTTGCCACTTGCATTAAAAATTCTGAGTTTGGTGTTGGCTGATGGTTATTGAGTTGCAGATGTTCTTCAATTGTAGAAATGTTGTCCTTGCTTTGTCGATCCGCGCTTTCACATCTGCATCAGGTCCACCATGCTCATCAATGATGGTACTTAAAAGCTTCTACATCCTCCAGAGCTATTCCATCAAGTGTGACTTGGTTGGTGAGTGTTATGTTGTATCGGAGAATCCTGCTTTTCTCTTTGTGTATGTGTCTGCTGTGTAGAGTATTATAAATTTTCTAAGATAACACATTCAATAGAGAGCTACTTTCAATGTAGGTATGATTTGTGTGATAAAAAGTTCGTCAATTAATAAACATTTTTTAGCAATTAGATTCAAGATCACAAATTTATACATTAGCTACTTTCTAACTTACGCCTGTTACCCTTAATGGAGCATGGGCCGCAAAGTAATGAATTATTTCTCTTTTTAGCGTTTTTTCTAGTTAGTTGGATTTCTACAGGATGGGGTCGCTAACCCCTATGCCAAACGCTCTTTATTTATCCGGGCTTGAGACCAGCAATAATCCTAGAAGGGCTCCAGCTGGAGTTAGTATTTATATATGCATTATATATTTCCCTCTGGTTGGATTTGACAAGGATCAATTCCTTTGCATCTATTCTAATTGTAGCTTTATGCTTAAACTGGTTAAGGCAAGTATATTTAAATGACTGAAATTGAAATTATGTCGCTTCGCTGTATCGTGAGTAAATGTAGATAATTGTGTGATTTAATCTGTATTATTTAAATAATGAAATTTAACCTAAATAGACTAAAATAGTTTAATAAACTTAAAATTTAAGAGAGTTAAATACAGTTCCATTCAAAAACATCATTAACTTTATTTAAGTTGCGTTTAAAGTTAATTTATACAAGTAGTAGACTCTAGTAAAATAGAGTTTTGCATCATCTGGCCACATGAGTAAGAGAAACTTATGATATCTTCTCCGACACTATGTAATACCTCAGAAGATAATCACCATCATATAGAGAATTATTACGACGTACTACACTGGGAAGTCGCGAATAGAAGACAGCTCATGGATCTGTTCCAAGTTATAAGCAAGGCTGTTTACACTCGCTTCTTCTCTTTATTCTGATGGTTGACTGATTCATGACAACCTCAACATTTCAAGGGAGGCACAGAATACAGTGAAAAGCTCGGATCCAGTTGGACAGTTTTGACTTCTTAGATGATCTGGATCTTCTATTCCGCACACAGCATCAAATGCAGGAGGAGATGGTCAGTGTATTAGCAGCTTCTGCAGCACTAGGCACCAATATTTCCAAGGCTAAAGGCAAGATCCTTAGGCCCAACACAACATACCCCAACCAAATCACAATCGACAGACAATCTTTGGAAGATGTGCGAACCTTTTCAAACCTGAGCAGAATCATCGATAAACAAGTTGAATCTGATCCGTAGGTAAAGACACGGATCGGTTAAGCAAGAGTAGCTTGTCTGCAACTGAAGAACATCTGGAACTCAAAACATCGATCAATCAACACCAAAGTCACGGTTTTCAATGCAAACGTCAAGGCAGTTCTATTTTATGGAGCGGAAGCTTGGAAAATTACGAAAGCCATTATCCAAAGGTTACAGGTATTTATGAACAGTTATCTATACAATATACTGAGGATCCGTCGACCAGACACCAACAATAACAATCTACTTAAGGGAGAGAACAAACTAGATTTCTCGTCTGAGGAAGAAATTAAGAGAAAGTCCTGTAAGTGGATAGGACATATAGTTGCGGAAATCACCCAAATGAATTATGAGATAAGCGCTAACTAAGGCCAAAGGAAAAGAGATAGACCAAAGAACACATTACACCAAGAACTAGAAACAGACAGGATAACAATGAATATAAATTAGGAACAAGTGGAAAGGGTAGTGAAGGACAGAGTTGGCTGGAATATGCTGGTCGATGGCCGCTTATGCTCCATGAAGGGTAACAGATGTAAGTAAGTTAGCAAGTGTCATCTCTAACAAAGATATCAATAACCGTCAAAAGTTTTCACTTATCGAATATACTAGTCTGCAATCGAATTTCTCATTGGAATGGAATAATAATACCTTTAATAATTGGGAAATTTCATTCAGATCAAGTATGTATTGAAGAAGTGTATCATCACATCAACTTTATTTTTAACTGTACTTTTAAAAATGAAATTATTTAAATACTTGTTTTATACAAATTCTAATATAAAATGTTAAGCATTCATATTTACAATCTAATTTTGTTGACATATTTCTTAAGAGTTCATACATTTCCTTATGGCTCCAGTTTGTTCATTATAGGATAAACTTATAAGAATAAACAATAAATGATGACACTATTGAAAATGGAATTTATTTTTATAATTCAACTAATTTATTTTTATCTTGTTAAACAAAACACTAATAAAGAGTTCATCAGTAAGTTCAAGTTGTTCTAACCGACGAAATCTAGTTAACCATTTTTAACATTTTTCAATAATTCTATTTTTATATTATATAATCTAGTGCAACCAAAAGAAAAAATAATTGACAGATGGTTTTATCAAAATATTGTTTACATAAGTCTATAAAGGTTAAATACATGATTTTCTTTTAATAAACTAATTGTACATTGAATAAAACAAGCATTCAATTCAATTTGTTCACTCTACAGTGTGTGAAATTCAGTAGTTGAGGAATTGTTAAATGATACTCTTCAAGAGTTAATAAGGATTAGTTCATTTCACTGATGGAGGCTATTCTAACCTATAGTGTTGGAGAGGGATGGTAATGTACAAATTGCTAATCGATTACTGAGAAGCTTATGAGTGTAAAAGGAAGTTTATTGAATCCAGGGCATTCAGTTCTCCAAGTGTGAGCTTAACTCTTCAACTACTGAGCTGACATTCAATTTCAATCTATTCATAATGATACACGACTATTTTCACACCCCATATGATTGAATTCCTGTTGTGTTGTTACTTCTCTCAATCGCAGTCACATTCCATAATCTTCACAAACTCTCATACTAGCAAAATTAAATTACTTTTTATTTGTAAAAGAACAACAAATTGACTGACTGGGTAAATGATCAGGGCTCAGGGAATTACGGAATAGAATAAGACTGGTACATGAATTTTTAAACAAAGGTAAAAAAGATGTTACATATTTGAAATCGAGAACGGCTGAATAATAACGTAATTGAAAACAGTATATGAATTTTGAGTCAAGTTACTTCGTTTTGTATCTAAAATGTTCTATCCTAATTTACTTGATGTGCAATCAACAAAAGATAACTGTTATTCACAAGAGATAAGCGGCAGCAAAACGTATTCCTCTGTATTCATACTTCAGTTTTAAAAATCGATAGAATATTTAACATTTGACTGCTTACATGGCATAGTATGTATCGAGCTAGTGTTTCAACACATCAGTCTATTAAGCGAATGTGTAAAAATAAAAAATACAATGTCAATCGTTAGTTACATCATATCCGGCCACGGAAGAGATAGGGGTGTCACGAATTTCTTCTGAACACATAAATTAGGGTTGAATGTACGTATTCCTATGGCTTCTGAAATTTGTAGGAGACGGGATCGAACTCCGTTGGGAGATGATGGAGGTATACGATAGATCACCCGAAAAGATCTAGATTTATCTACAATGTGACCACTGTCTACCAGGTGTGCTAAGATAGAACTGTGTACTGTTTTTTGACTGACCCTTCGTAAACCATGCTGGGAGGTGTTCACTCATTCGTTAGGTAAGTTGCCTGGAAGTACGCCCGATATAGCTATCTCCACAGGAGCAGCTGAATTTGTAATGCACATAGAGGAGGCCAACTCAGGTAAGTTATTCTTCGTTCGGGTAGTTATCGCTGCTCCACTGGAGAATGTCAATGCAAGTTTGGCAGCGTTGAATGTCTTCCTACTATCCACCTGTACTTTTGCCTATTATATGTAGTAATGTAAGCTTTTTCATTTCATTGTGATTATCACTCAAATTGCCTTGATTGGTTAAACATTTTCATATAAATATTCATGTATATTAGAGTAAAGCCTGACATCAGTCTATTCATTGAATGTGACACATTTTTAATCATGTATCATGTGAAATGATTGTTTTCGGACGTAAGATATTTTTACGTTATCTAGAAGTTTTTCAGGTGTTAAAATGAGCTTTCCAATTTTTCATTGAGACTGTAACTTGGTAGCTGGAATAAAATCACAATGATTCATAATTGTTTTTCTTTGGAAATTTGATGAAAAACAGCTTTATATTTTACTTTCTCATTGAATACTACTAATAAGTAGTTAAAAACTGTACATTTAAATTAAAACTTTCGAATAAATGTACTTCAAGTATACAAATACATACCTTTTAATATTTTCTGAAGTAAATGCTGTATACGGTAACTAATTCATTCCATTCTGAAAATCGTTCAATTATCAAATTATAGAAATATTGATCCTTCTGTTCTTGAGAAAAATGAAAACATTTCATTCCAGATATACATGAATTACGTCAACTGAGCAGTTAGTTGTGCATGGTTGTATACATCGTATTATCATAAAGAAACTGATAGGTTTAAATGCGATTATTTCCTACCAGTTAGTTTGTTCAGTATTTGATTTTCTGACCTGTAGATATCTTGTTTCTATTCTTTCATCTCATATTATGTCTATGCCGAATTGATAGTAAACCGAAAGTACTGAAAGTCAGTGGATGATCACTGTCCTGTTGACACCTTCAAGCCATTATCACTATTGAATAATCGTACAGTCATTATGTTAATTCATTCACTTTATGAACTGCATAATTGTTAAGCTGAAAATATCAAATTATATGCTATGTATTTCATTGTTCTTTCTTATTTAAAATATTGTTCAACTTCATTTTCCCCAAAACACTGCTTAATTGTGATTTGATATCAGTGACAAACTTCAATAATGATTTATTTCAGTTGAGTTGAAATTGACAAGTATGAAAATGATATTAATCACAGTTTTATTAAGTCGATAGCTTACGATTAATGTTGACCATTTGTTCAAATCAAATCATTTTGAACACACAAAAAAATGTTACAGAATTTGATTTAAGTACAAATTATTATAACTAAGAATTAAAAGTTGACTATTCACAAAACAATCTTTATATTGTATGAATAGTAATTATTGATAAGACAGAGTTAACAAAATTCGATCACTATAGTTTAACAACAATAAAAAGTGAACATCTCATTATTTCATTCATTAGTGTCCTTAAAACCATTAGGTATACAATATAGAATGTACGTGATATATTAGTAGAATGAATTTACTCGCCGTATTAACCAGTCAAGGTAAGAAATCGATAAACTGATTATTTACTATTTATATAACAGCTTTTTTTCGGTATACTTCATTGTCAGAATGAAATGATCAGATTAGGCATAATTAGTTTAAACTGAAAAAATTTACGCATGTATATAATTTACACTTATATGTATTGTACATATATATATATATATATATATATATATATATATATATATGCCTTTTTCGTAACCTCACCCATTGTTTTGGGTTGGTAACTAACTGCCTCACAGCCGACACGACTGAACTTCACGCGTCACGGCTTCTCACTAGAACTCCGATGATTTCACTAGTGAGCAAATTGTATGGTGTTATAGAGCGAGACTGAGAGTCCTGGGTTCGATCCCCACGAGCAGGGTTCTTGTATGCACACTACTGAGGAGCCCCATACTAGGACGAAATGGCTGTCCAGTGCTTCCAAGTTTCTAATAGTGATCTAACAATGATCGATTCATGATTTCAATGAAAAACTATGTAAATGTTTATAATAATTGTCAACCAACATATTTCCACTTTACATGTCAATGAGACAAACTTTATCACTTACTATGGCCTCGATGATTGAAAATGTTATATGTATCTGGTTATCAACAAATCTCGCAAAAACAGTTCAAATACAGTAAAAGTGATTACATCAACATTATTACAATAAATTGATGGGTAATTTATGAAATCGCCTTTATTGATTTCAATTATTGTCACAAACAGCTAAATAACTAAAAATATGTACACATATTAAGATTTGTTATAAATCTCTAGGTTCTATTCAACTGTTGATAATGGAGTAGGTGAACTGCGTTTGAACAAGTGACCTAACAAGTGAGAGTCAAATGCCTAGACTGTTATTGTTCATCTCTTTGAGTAGAACAAGATAAGTGAAAATAATTCTCTACCACAAACTTGCATGTCCGATTAGCATGGTTTCACTAAACAGACAGTCTAGTTATTAATCGATCAATCTTAGACCATCACCATTGGGAGCCTGGAAGCACAAGATGGGTGTTTCATCCTAGGACAGGACTCTTCACCATCGAGCATCACCTACCTCACGGGAGGTAATTGGACCGAATACCTTAACCTTAACTTTGGAACCACTTAGTCAGCATCGGACGGTGTTAATGTCTAACTTCAATCAGTCTACAATATTGTGCGATCATCATCAATGGATTTCAATGTTGGTTCAATATTGATTGGTTTATGATTACAGTGAAACTTAACAGTCTACAAAAATCTTATACTGAGAACCTAATCACTTGGGAAACAATGTCCTTGAACATAACATGTAGGGTTCAATACCCATGTGTAAAACATTTCGATAATACCGCAAAAAATCTACGTCTGTCTACACTCTTAGTGATGAATCGTCGGAATTAATGGAATTCTTGTGATTAGCCTAACCGAGAGTGATGGTAGTGATAGCCAATAAGGAAATTAAATAATTCAGGACTGAAAAGGTCAAATACAAAATACTATAAAGTGAGTTTATTTCTAAATTTTCGGTGTGGTATATGCTACTCACAACGTGGCTTGAGTTGTATGCAGTGAGGTGTCGCCCTGGATATTGTTGAAGCGAAGAGTGTTCAATCCAGATGTATGGGGCTATCAGTGTATTCAAAACTAGAAGATATGTGGAGGAAGACAGCCAATAATCCATGTGTTTTGCTGATGGATATTTGAAGATAAGGTGTGAACATTTTGCTGCTAAACTGTGTCTTCTTCAAATCCTATTTGGTCTTATCGTCTTCGTTGGGTTACACTGGAACTTAGCATTTCTGAGCTAATGTCTAGCTGATTATTATTTCACCTGCTAATTGTAGGTTCCTAGTAGCAAATTCGGAAAGCAAGCGTGAAATACAAATAGACATATTTAACACTAAAGTTATTCAACAATTGATAGCGTGTTGAAAATCTTCAACGTGACTGACACAAGTGGCTTCGTCGGTATTGACTACTGCTTCACGCCAAGTAGATAAAACTGAGGCCAGATCTGTTGCGATGTGCGGGTTCAATTTATTCACAACATACTAGTCTTAACGATTGCTCAAAAGGGTATGAAGATTAAAAATCTGTAGTGTGTACTGACAAGTTTAGCCCATAGGGTTTGTCACAGCCTTTAAACAATTTAATCCGTTTTTCTAAAGTTATTCTTATGACTTTCAACCTTGTCAATCTGATAAGTTCGTCACTTAGTATGCTTGAGGTTATTACGAGTTTACCTTAGTCGATAAACGCGAACGAGACAATAAACCAGCGTCCAGGTAGGCAACCTTGAATACCCAAAGTCGAAATAAAAAGCTTTGTAAGCGTAGAAGTATATTCTACAAACACCCAGCAATCACAGTACAAACAAGCATACAACTCTCGTTTATTTATACAACATAGGAACGTCCTTGAGACAGTTAAGAAAATAGCACACTAAAATACACAGCAGCCAATCACAGCCGTGGATTTTCCTGGTGGAAATTGAAAACTCAAGGTCAACTGATTAGCCCATGCTGGCAAACGTGAAAACCAAAATGAGGCATTATGAAGCAAATTTTGGGTATCTAACATTCCCAACACAATCATTCGCTTATAACCTTGGTTGTTTATATTCGAGTGTGTCGCTTAGTACATGTCTAGCTTATTTTGTCTGACTACAAATATTTAGTCATGCTTCATCGCATTTAGTTGGCTCACTCGCCTTCTCTGTTTCGCTTTGCTTGTGCGATTTTCATTTTCAGAATAAATCAGTTACAACAGGCTTCTCTCTCACTCAACATGTTGCTTTATGACAGAACGTAATCTCTCCGAAATCTCCAGACGCACCAACTCCTCCAGAGAAACTTTCTGTTTTCCATCCAATTGAAGCTAATATTCACTACATACTTATTTACTTGCGCCTGTTACCTCTCGTGGAGCATAGGCCACCAACTAGCATTTTCCAGCCTACTTTGTCATGGGCCTTCCCTTTCCAGTTCTTACCAATATCAGTTCATTCTTTTTATGTCCACCTTCAATTCTCGGCGAAATGTGTTCTTTGGTCATGCGGGTTCAAAGTGAGGTGTTGCCTCATAACGCCCTAGCGTGCTTTCTTCAATATGTGTCCTATCCACCTCCGCCTGAAGCTCTTCTAGGATGGATGCCGGTCCTAAGTCTGGATGAAGGAGGAGGGTTAGGCATGGGGTAAAGGTAAATACATGAAAAGATTAAAACAATACAATTTATGGAAAAAACTGAAATCATTGATAATAATTATGTATTGTTGATTATATTTCAGCAGATCAATCAAAATTTTGTACTCATTAACAAAAGGCGAAACAAACTGTTATCATTTTCTTCTTCAATAACTAAACAAACCAAAAAAATCAGACTGCCAGCAGAGAAAAAATTTGTTTATTTAAAAGAGATGAAAAAAAAATGGAAATCAAGTTGTAACTATTGTGTCTCTCTGTCTGTAAAAAAAGGCAACAATAAAGTATGTATCATAGACCGAATAATGAAATAGTGACAGAGCATAATGATAATAACAACAACAGTATACTGCAAAAAAATATGTATATATGTAAATAATATAACACCGAGAATATATTTTTTAAACAAAAAAGGTTAAATAATGAACATTGAATGAATCTCTTCACTGATTGAACACCTACACCTACACGTAGACACATTCACACACACACACACACGCACGCACAATATTTGATGCATTGTGCATTGTCTATTCCGAATGAAAAGATAAATCACAATTTAGAAGAACAATAAATAAGTTTTAAAAATGATACCATATAAGTAATCAATTACAAATAAAGAAAATTATTCATATTAATGGAATGATTATCATATTGAAAGTAGAAAAAAAATTTTTTTAAAAAAACAACACAAACACATTCTGCCAAGGCATTTATTCAAAGAAAGACAAAAAAATTGACCATTTTTCTTATTTTAATTAAAAAAAAAACATTGGGAAACAGTAGTGTACAACACCTAGAAATGTATTATATATGAAGAAAGGATAAACACCTCTGATGGAAAATTCACAGCATTATGGATAAAAAACAAAACAGAAAAGGCAACGAATACCATGAGGTGGAAAAAACCCAAAATTTTATTTTATTTTTTTCCTTTTCAAACATAACGAATCTTTAAGTGTGTTGCATAGAGAAAACTCATTGACTAGATCTAGTAGATATAATAGTTCCTATCAATGATCATTCTTTTTTACAAGGAATCAGAACAGGTTTGCCAGTTTCTTTGTCTTGTTCCAAACAATGTAGACCATGAATTTCAACACCTTTTAAAAATGATAAATTCTAAAATGAAAGATTTAAAGAATAACGATACAGGTAAGAAAATAGGTTGAGTTAGTATTAATTTACAGAAATATTGAAATAGATTTTTACGGTTTTCAGTTGTAAGTACCATACAGCAGTATGATACAATAATAAAAAGTTACATTTTGGCTAACTATGAAATTTTCAGCAGGTTTGCATCACACCATGAAATTATTGTAGTTATGATTTAATGACTAGGTCTCGTAGAAAAATTGCGAGTCAATAAAACTTATGAGAACTTCATATAATGATGGTAACCAGAAATTTAGTATTCCACTATTGAAAATACTTTGAATTCATGAGTTTACTCCCCACTTCGAAATAAGACAGCAGTTCGGATTCACTTGAAAAATATTGCAACATACAACTATATTACTTATGAGTAGCTAATATTTTTTCAAACATTTTTGATATTATACTCTTCGCGGTTATCGAAAAATATTGTGATCAAAATTTGCAAGGTCAAGATCACATGTTCGTTGACATCTTCTTTGCGCTTTGCGTTAGGCATTGCTTAATCCTACAAAATAAGTATTAGTTCTAACTCATAGTGAATGTGGGTTGATGATAGGCTGAAGGCAGTTTGACATCATCATCTGTTGTTGTGGCAGTAGAAACATCAAAATAAAAACAATATAACTTTCAATTCATTTGGGTACACAGAGAGAAGGACTATCAAATGGAACTTTACTGTAAATGTCTACTATAGTCATTCTTATGCGATATACAGGAAATTACAAATCAAAAGCAGAACATGAGATAGACCTGTGCAAAAGTTAAAAACTACAAATCTTAGCACTGATAAGATCAAACCCCGTCGATTGTAACGTAAAATTTGATAAGAACGTATATTAATCAGGTTATCATGCCTCCCTAACACGAAGAGATGAAATTTTTAGTCTAAATCTCAAAGTATTAGTGGTAATAAAAAAATTTGGGAACACAGATAAGAGTCAAGAAAATATAAATCATTGAAAGAAAAAGTGGAAAGTGGGAGGAATTCGGAAACCTAGAATTCAGGGAAAGATAAAGAGTGAATGCAAATGCGCCGCTGAGAACGATTCTGAGCCATGTCATTCAAAGTCTTTAACCACCGGAAACGAGTGTCTTGCGGACCACACCCAAGTAGTCTACACCTACTAAAATGGCTCAGTTCATCTAGCAATGACTTTATGGATTAGTGTTGCGTTTTCGCTTGGTTGTCCGTCGCTTCCTTCCAACCTACTTATAAACCACCCATGTTCCAACTGCCGCAAATGATGGAGATTCACTTATTCACCAACTGGTTTGTCATCCTTACTTAATGCCCTTTTCCTAAGCTCGACATTGCTTACTCGGTGATCCCAGGATATATGAGCAGTGATGTGAAGACATCTATGATCGAATACTAACAATCTATGAGCATTCTCTGCTCTTAATGGTCATGGTTCCTACCTCTAAAGTAGAACGAAGCGAAATGCGATGCATTAAACTTATCCTTCGGTTAATAGATGGATATCTCGTCTACGTCATAAGTGACGCAAGTTGGTATGAGCCAATCTAGCCTAAACTGATGGAACTTCGAAGATAAGTGAAGTGGTGGACACATTCTACTACTTTACACCCTATCACATTCAAAACATGCTTCCATTGTTGCTTAAGGTGGTCAACATCTTAACCAAATGGAACTGTGTCATCTGTGGTGTATTTCAGGTCAATAAGTGAATCCCTTGGTGGAAGGTCAACCCCTAAGGCGTCGGGCGACGAAAGCATTAACTCTAAAAGTATATCAATGACAAAGTTGAATAGGAATGAAGAAATTGGACAGCCCTGACTAACACTACTTGAAGTAATCAATTACAATGACACTTAACCATAAGCTCTGACTCGAAATGGAGTGTTTCGAGTAGAGAGGTTGATACATGGTTGACATACTTTTCTGGTAAAAACATCAAACTAAAAATATGTGCGGATCCATATTTGACACGGAAGTAAGTTGTATTGAATGGCATAAGTGCCGAAATGAGAAATATTAACAGCTGACAGTAGTTAATTGAAGTACCGGAAACGTTTTAATGTCTTAGATATTACAACAATTTAACGTAGACAAAGCAGAGGAAATGGTTGAAAACTGCAAAACTATAGATTGGATCAAATATTTTCGTATAGTAAACAAAATAGTGGAGAAAAGATCTGGGAAAAACATTGGATTGCCGATATATCCGCTAAAGAGCTTGGCAATGGATCATCCCTCGAAAACTGGAATTCGATAGTTTGATAATCCTAATTTGGAAAATAAAACTGTGTGAAACTACTTTTAACAAGCTTAACAATAGGTTCGGTATAAATGTTAGCAGAATACAATTGAAACATGGAACTACTTGCTTTCTCTCAAACTGAAAACTGATAGGAGTGGATGTGTAAAAAACGAAACAGAGCAAGGGAACGAAGTCTAATGATTCAATAAAATTTTCAGAAGGGCTTGTGGATATTACCTATGAAAGATAATGAAAAGGACGCTGTAAATCTTAGCATACATAAACTAGTTAGTTGTAGCTCGAAGCCACAGTTCTCATTTCTCCTAGTTAAGATAATGTGAAGTGTATCAAAGGTGTTTTAACCGCCAAAATTCTGAATAATTAAACGACGATATCTAAAATGTATGCGATTTCTGGGACTAGTGAGTAGCGTTTCGTTCTAATGGAGTCAATGAAATGAATATTATCACCTACGGAAAAATAGTGTTTGTGAATGAAGATAAATTATACAGCCGATAAAGTGAAAACAAAACTTTGGGAGAACTGTTGAGAGTTAAGGTTAAATACCTCATTCTTCATTACGGATTTAAATTAACTTTATATCAACAATGATTTCATAAATGAAAAGATTTTGCACCAAGGCACCATTTAGCTGTAAGATTTCAATTATCGATACGGTTCACGAAGTATATCAATGAAGGCCTAGATTAAGTGACGTTATAGAGAATTATTTTCAGTTACTGTTACTTGAAAACTCCTCCCGGAGCCCCTCTGGGGCTACCGAACAGGGATAAAGGAGGAGGGTTGGGTATGGGGGTTGGCCACCCCATCCCATAAAAAACCAACTGGCTAAAAACACTAACCAGAAAACATAATTCAAACCATTCTAACTCTGCCCTGGAAGTTAGAAGGTCTTCTTTCTCATGATGAAAGCCGAGTTTTTTCGGAAGTCACGAGGCCGATGCCCCTTCTCACAAACAGAGCAACCACTCTTATAGGTACATGGGACGTTCGAACTCTGTAGGAGACCGGAACATTACGCTAAGAAATAGAGAAAGATATGAGAAGAATGGACAAAAATTGGACAGAATTGAAAAGGGAAGCCTGGGACAGATTAGGTTTGAAAATACTGGTCGGCTGCCTATGCTCCATTGGGGGTAACACACGTAAGTCAGTAAGTAAGCAAAATACTGTTACTTGGAAGAAGCCAAGAGGAATTTTCTAGACTCTATGCTAGTTGGCAATTATCCCCAAACAAATATTTTCAATTTTACCCAGTCAAAAATATGAACTAGTATCATTTAGCACTGCTATTCAAGACACTATTGAGTTACTTAAATCATCACGAATGCATTGCAACGCTATTTAAAACGTTAAACAATTATAAAAACTGTCAGTGGTCTAACATATATATATATATATATATATATATATATATATATATATATATATATATATAAACAATCTACTAGTCATAAAAACCAAACGTTTTAATCATACTAAATATACCATAGAGATTCATAAACTAGGTCAAATATATGATCAATAAATAAACTAGACAAGTCAAAAAGGCTGAATCAATATATATATATATATATATATATATATATATATATATATATATAATAAAAATACAAAAAGATTATAGAAAATAGTTCGTATACTCATTACAATGGATAATTATAGGGGTTGAGAAAAGACTTTCACTATTCTACCGATTACATGTGTTCAAGAGTGAAATTTTTAAAAGTTAAAACATAAAACTATTATTATACACCATTCACATCAACTCGCTTATTTGAATGAATAGTTTGTCAACTAAAATATAACAATAGAATATTCAGTTATGGTAGAACACATTTCAGTGCAATCATTTATTGTTAACTATTGTGTTTAATCCAAATTGTTCATTTTTTTTCTACACAAACTTTTGAATGATACTCTCATTATAAAGTAGAATTCGAATGAGTACATTGAATCAATAATTCAGTGATCTCGTTTGAATTAAAATGATTGATATTTTCTAGTTATTGATGTGCAACTAACTGGATTGAGTCATATTGATCACCTGGTTGAGGTCCATGAGACGATAGTAACCGATGGTTGGAAACCTTGAATGACATGGCCGAAAATCGTTTGTAATAGCCCAGATGTATCATCCATTCTTTGTCTTCTCTTAAATTCTAATCTTTTGAATTTCTCATGATGTTTATCTTTCTTCCGTCAAATTTATTTCACTGGATTTATACTCTTTGAATAACATACTTAAACCCTAATCTTTCCGAATACTGATCATACTTTTACTACTACTACTACTATAGGATTTGAATCGATAATTCTATCTCTCTGTGCTACTGTTGTACGGCAACTTGAACTGATGTACGTACATACGAAGTCTGCCAGGAGCCCCTCTGGGGCTACTGTTAAGTTCCAAGCCCGGATAAAGGAGGAGGGTTGGGCTTGGGGGTTGGCGACTCCATCCCGTAGAAAACTAACTCGCTAAAAGAATGCTAACCAGAAAAACAAATTCAAAAAAAAAAGAAGTATGTACGTACCTCTAGCTCTACACGTTGTTGTAGCTGACTGAGTTATTGATAACAACAGCATATATAATAAGAAATGTACTCAATAAAAAAAAATAACGAAACGAAAAGACAAAGACAATCAATCAAACTTACTTCACCATTGTAAGTAATCAAAGGTGAAATTTCAATCAATGCCATAGTATCATCATGTACACTGCTGTTATTATTATTATGTAAATGTCCATTTCCATTCGATGTCACATTATGATTATTATTACCGTTGTTGTTGTTATTGTTATTGTTGATGGTGAATAATGCACCAGCATTTTTTGCTAAACGTGTATGATAAGTCAATAAATCTAAACGTGCAGTTTGAGGACAATCTTTAATTGCATTTAATCCATTTTTAAGTGGTGAAAATTGTTCATCTCTTGGAACTTCCCATATAAAAAATTGTCTTGAAAAGAAAGAGTAGTAGTAGGAAATAAAAATTTAATATGAACTCTATATACATAGTTTTAAAGTTATACAATTAAGAAATATTAAAATTAGATATTGTTACATGTACTGTTAATTACTACTAAAGAATCATGTTCGATTTCACATCACTTGGAATAATTTTGGTGAAATATGATTCAGAATCAAGGATCAGTCAAGTCAGTCAGTTACAACACAGAACTTCGTACTTACGTACGTACGTACATTAGTTCAAGGTTACCATACTGCATTAACACAGAGACTCCACTGTCAGTTCAAATCCTATAGTGGTGGAGATAGTAGAAGTACTAGCGGTAATGGAGAAGATTAGGGTTGTAAGATATTATTCAAGAAGTACAATTCAGTGAGATAAATTTAGAAAGAGAAAGATAGAGGTGATGAGAAATTCTGAAGATTAGATTTTCATTAAACACAAAGAGTGGATGCACTAGCGCCATTGCAAACAATTTTGAGCCATTTTATTCAAGGTATCTAACAATCGTTTACTACTGTCTCGCGGACTCCAACAAGGTAGTCTAGATCTACAGGAGTAACATTAGTAATAGTAGTATTAGCAGCCATGTAGAGAAAAATATTATTCTAAGTAAAGGACCCATTTGAAATTAAAACTAGATATGGTTGTTTGCATATGAAACAGTTAATATCAACTCTGAATTTTACTCTATCCTTCGCGTTCAAACTGATTAAGTTAAAAATTATCAATGTAGCAATATAATTTTCCGTTGGACAAAGTCTACATATTGTGCGAAGTTTGATGTATCACACAAACGACCAAGTACTGAAACATATTACCAAATGGAGTAACACAGTAACAGATGTTTATTCTTTTTTCGACTTCATGTAAGGTGGACGGAGTTTACAATATTAGCCGGAAGTAGCCGTTTGGACAACACTATGCCGCTAACTGTACCTTATTTCTATGTGGAACTCAATAAACTTAAATGTTTTAAAGCAAAAACAATGAATAATGTACTTGGTCTTTACTTATCAATATATGAAACAATAATTCGTAAAGAAAAAGTAATTAATGGATGTACTGGATGTACAGGAAAAAAACACAACCTAACCTATGGAGAGAACTCAAAGCTGATTATGTCATTTCAATCACATTTATCGATAGAACGAGTATACAACCTCTCCCGCACACATAAAAACACACTGGTACACTAGTAACATCCAATTAATCAGTCAGTCAGTTGCAACGTAGAACTTCGTACGTATGTACATAAGTTCATGTTGCCATACCACATTATTAGCACAGAGACGCAAATATCAAATCAAATCCCATAGTGATAAAGATAGTAGAGGTATTAATGTTAATAAAGAAGACTAGGGTTTAAGATATTATTCAAAAAATATAATTCAGTGAGATAAGGTTAGAAAGACAAAGGTAGAGGTACAGACGATTCCAGAAGATTAGGATTTGAGAGAGCTCAAAGAGTGGATGCACCTGCGCCATTGCAAACGATTTTGAGCCATGTCGTTCAAGGTCTCTAACCACTGATGACTTTCGTCTCGCGGACCCCAACCAGGTAGTCTACATCTACCAACATGACTCAGTCCACTTGTCAGTGACTTCATGGATTTGTGCCATGTTTTGATCTGGCCGCCCCTAACTTTCTTCCAGCCTACTCCTACACCACAAAACATAGCTCGTCGAGGCAGTCGGTGGTTAGGCATACGTAACACATGTCCCAACAACCTCAACTGATGAAGTTTCACCACTTCATCAATTGATCTGCCATCGTTACCTAGTACTCGATTCCTAACGACAGCATTGCTTACTCGGCTGTCCCACGATATACGAGCAATGCTTCTTAAACATCTATGATCGAATACTAGTAACCTACGAACATCTTCTACTCTTAACAGACATGTTTCACAGCCATATAAGAGAACGGAACGAACTGCTGCGCAGTACACCCGCCCTTTGGTTAGCGAACGGATATCTCGCCTACGCCATAAGTGACGCAGGTTGGCAAAAGCCAATCGAGCTTTTTGTATCCGAGCTGAGATTTCGTCAGTCACCAGACCGTCAGCACTGATGAGACTCCCTAGATAAGTGAAGTGATCAACACGCTCGACTACTTCACTCCCTATCACTAGTTCAGGTGCCAATGCAACCCAGTCTTGAAGCAACATTTTGCATTTCGAGGGGGAAAACCGCATCCCGAACATGCTCGCATTGTTGCTTATGGTAGTCAGAAGACTCTGCATTTTGTCAGCGTCTTCACCGAATAGAACTATGTCATCGGCATATTCTAGATCAGTAAGCGACTTTCCTGGTAGAAGGTCAACCCCTGAAAAATCTGACGAGCTTAATGTTAACTCTAAGAAGATGTCTACAACAAAGTTAAACAAGAATGGAGAGAGTGGACAGCCCTGACGGACACCACTTGATGTAGAGAATTCAGATGACAGTTCGCCATATGCTCTCACCCGACCAGTCATATAATTCGATGAATCATACTTCATTTATGCCATGAGTTATTTTCGGCCCATGAGATGATAGTAATCGATAGTTAGAGACGCTGAATGACATGGCTCAAAACCGCTTGCAATGGCGCAGGTGTATCCATTCTTCATGTTCAGTCAAATCCTAACCCTCTGAATTCCTCATCATCTTTATCTTTTTCTTTTTAAGTTTATTTCACTGGTTTATACTTCTTGAATAATGTCGTCGAACCCTAAAATTACTGCTAATACTTCTACTACCTCTACTACTATGGGATTTGAATTGACAAATGCATCTCTATGCCAATATGGTATGACAACTTGATATGATGTACGTACGTACGAACTTCTATGTTGTAACTGACTGACTGACTGACTGATGAATTATTTGTAATTAATGGTCTAACTGGTTAAATATTAAATTGTATGAAGTATCATTAAGCCAACTTCTACATTCAACATGAACACTTGTAGTAACGATCAATCAAAAGTTCAACTAATGTTGATAAGAAATTAAATAACATGAATTTGGAGTTCATCAAATATAACTCTTATAACATTAACAACGAAAAGATCACGATCTTTACAAGCAAGTAACAGTTTTCACAGATAATTTACAACCAGTCTAAGGATTAAATAAAAATCACATGATTACATAACAAACATCTGCATCACAGTTATATTATAAAAGAACAAAAAAAAAATAAGGAACAGAGAAAGAAAAGACGAATAAGTAGACTTACTTAGCAAATGGAAAAACATCAAAAGCGAATTTTTCAAATTTAATTGCATTCGGTTTTTGTGGTACAATCAATTCGCCTGTATTCAAATCAATACAAGTAACTTTTTTTTGAGCTCGATGATAGCGCATTTTCATTTGAATCTCATCTTGACAAACATAGTCCAAAAATGATTTTGTCATAAAATGTACACAAATATTACCATGACTATAAACTAAACGATTTGTATCATTGAAATATGATAAATCTTTACTGTCTACATTGTTATTATTATTATCATTGTTATTATTATGAGAGTTGTATTGATTCACACGTAAATAGGCTTTAGCACGAGATATTTCACTATATTCGACAATCTAAAAAAAATGAACAATGAAGTTAAAACCGGCAAAGTGTTTTGTAGAAGAAAAACCACTGCACCTTTACTGAAAAGAAAGCATAAAAGTTACAAAGATAAAGATGATAGCCTGGTGACTGACGAAATCTCAGCGCGGATATGGAAAGCTCGATTGGCTTTTGCCAACCTTCGTCATTTATGGTGTAGGCGAGATATCCGTTTCCTAACCAAAGGTCCAGTGTACTGCACAGCAGTTCGCTCCGTTCTCCTATATGGATGCAAAAACATGGCCGGTAAGAGTAGAAGATATTCGCAGATTACTAGTATTCGATTATAGATGTCTTAGAAGCATTGCTCGTATATCGTGGGACAACCGAGTAAGCAATGCTGCCATTCGGAAGCGAGTACTAGGTAAGGATGGCAGATCAGTTGATGAAGTATTGAAACTTATCGGTCGAGGTGGTTAGGACATGTATTACGAATGTCCAACCACCGACTGCTGCGACGAGCTGTGTTTTGTGGTGTAGGAATAGGTTGGAAGAAAGTTAGGGGCGGCCAAACCAAAACATGGCAGAAATCCATGAAGTCACTGACAAGTGGACTGAGTCATATTGGTAGCTGTAGACTACTTGGTTGGGATCCGCGAGACGAAAGTCACCGATGGTTAGAGACCTTGAATGACATGGCTCAAAATCATTTGCAATGGCGCAGGTGTATCCGATCTTTGTGTTCTCTCAAATCCTAATCTTCTGTATTCATCAACACCTCGACCTTTGTTTTTTTAAACTTATCTCACTGAATTATACTTCGAGCCCCAATCTTCACCATTACCAGTAATACTTCTACTATCTGTAGCACTATGGGATTTGATATGACAGTTGGGTATCTATGCTAATGTGGTATGGCAACATGAACTTATGCACATACGTACAAAGTTGTATACGTTGTAACTGACTGACTGACTGTTATAATCTTAAATTGAATGTGTGAAGGTCAGAGTATGGTTTTTTGTTTTATTACGTGTATTGACTTGAATTGAAGAATAATTAGATTCAAATAAAATAATGATTACAATTAATCAATTGATAAATGTTCACTTATTAACTACACTACAATGCAAAAACATTATTTGTGCATAAGAGATTTGATTTAAAACTATCTATTTGATTACCAAAGACTAAGGACTCTGCAGAATAGTTTGTATGAGACAAAGTTTACTACGTTAAATTAGAACGCGTTTCAATCATTCAATTTTCTTCATCCTGTAAAAACTAAAGAAACAGTAATAAAGCAAATTTCCACTGATCAAACAGAAATACTGACCTAAAATAGAGAAATAACTGGTGTGGAAAACCACTAATAGATCGCTCAGTTCCTTTCAAAAGCAAGAATGCTCCAGTAAAAAGAGTGGTTCATGTATTCTTTGAAGAGTAACGGATTATATGTTAGTGAAAACTGAAACAGTGAGTGTCTGAAACCATTCCAACGGAACAAGTTTAAAGCTCGTTAAGAGCCTTTGTGAAAACACAAAGAACTCAGATTATAACCAGATAATAATAAATTTGTTTTAAATTACGTTTACAGAAATCAGGATTAATTCAAGAGACAAAAAACAACACTACAAATTATATAACAGAACATTTTACCTGATATCGACCATCTACTACTCCAACAACTCCTATCGGTTCTTCTGGATCAAGCCTTTGAACAACTTCAGCAGCACAATCTGCATTATTTTCAATACAGTAACCAATAAAATGAAGATCAGGTATTTTTACTAGAATATTATCAACACAATAAATTTGAACATATTCAATTCCTCTTGATTTCATATCATCAAGAATACCACGCTCTTTGAGAGCTCTGTACAATCCGCCGTTTCCATCTAGTTAAAAAAAAACAGCAGGATAGATATATTTATTACTGATAGAACTTCGTATATATAAATAGCTAAGAAACTTGCTGATAGTTTAATCAACAAAGGTCTACAATATTGGCTAGTTGTTGAATAATCAAAAGTCAGTCAGTCAATTACAGAGTAGCACTTCGTACGTACGTACATCAGTTCAGGTTGCCATACCACGTTAGCACAGAGACGCAAATGTTAAATCAAATCCCATAGTGACAAAGATAGCAGAGGTATTAATGGTAATGAAGAAGACTAGGGTTTGAAGATATCATTCAAGAAGTATAATTCAGTGAGATAAGGTTAGAAAGACAAAAGTAGAGGTGCTGACGATTCCAGAAGATTAGGATTTGAGAGAGCTCAACGAATGGATGCACCTGCGCGATTGCAAATGGTTTTGAGCCATATCATTTAAGGTCCCTAACCATCGGTGACCATCGTCTCGCGGATCCCAACCAGGTAGTCTACATCTACCAACATGACTCAGTCCACTTGTCGGTGACTTCATGGATTTGTGCCGTGTTTTGGTCTAGCCGCCCCTAATTTTCTTCCAGCCTAAACCTACACCACGAAACATAGCACGTCGAGGCAGTCAGTGGTTGGACACTCGTAACACATGTGCCAACCACCTCAACTGATAAGTTTCAATACTTCATCAACTGATATGCCATCCTTACCTAGTACCCGTTTCCTGATGGCAGCATTGCTTACATCTATGATCGAATACTAGTAATCTGCGAATATCTTCTACTCTAACCGGCCATGTTTCACATCCATATGGGAGAACGGAGCGAACTGCTGTGCAGTACACTCGACCTTTGGTTAGCAAACAGATATCTCGCCTATACCATAAATGACGAAGGTTGGCAAAACCAATCGAGCTTTCTGTATCTGTGCTGAGATTTTGTCAGTCACAAGGCCATCAGCGCTGATGAAACTCCCAAGATAGGCGAAGCGGTCGACACACTCGACTATTTCACTCCCTATCACTAGTTCAGGTGGCGACGCAAGCCAATCCTGAAGCAACAATTTGCATTTCGATTGGAAAAACCATATCCTCAACATGCTTTCATTGTTTCTTAGGGTAATCAGAAGACTCTGCATTTTTTCATCGTCTTCACCGAATAAAACTATGTCATCAGCATATTCTAGGTCAATTAGCGATCCTTCTGGTAGAAGGTCCACCCCTGAAAAATCTGACGAGGATAATGTTAACTGTAAAAGGATGTCTACAACAAAGGTAAACAAGAAAATAATCAATACTACGGAATAGTACTAAATTAACAAGTGTTATTGATGTTATTGATTACAGCTTTTGAGTATTTGACGTCAAACTATGAACTAACAATCAGTCTTCATGAATTTATTTAAACAGGTTAATGATGATGATAATAATAATTATTAGTGTGTACAAATATTATTTAAACTAGAAACAAATTATACATATACATATTTACATTATCACTGATTATTATTACTATTTACTCACGTAACTTTAGTTCATTTACTTAACTGATACTTTTATTTCAGAAATTGTAAGTAGTAAGTCGTCATTTTTTTTTCTAGAACACCACTTACTAATTATAACAACTGAATGAAAACCTTCAAATTTACAACAGAGAATGAGATCATTGAATTTAATTGCTAATTATTTAATAGTGAAATGAAGAAACTGATTGAAGATATTGTATGATTGTGCTTATTAAATTGACAAACATGTATTGTGTATGTTTATAAACCTATCAAGATAATTAAATTTAGATTTAAAAAAACAACGAAAAATTATTTATGCCTACTTAATATATATATGATATATTATATAATATTATCTACTGCACAGTAGTCTGCGCCGTCCTACTTTATATGTGTGAGACATGACCAGCGAAAGTAGAAGATATTCGTAGGTTACTAGTATTCGATCATAGGTGTTTTCAAATCACAGCTCGTTTATCCTGGGACCATCAAATAGGCAGTGTTGGGGTTAGGAGAGGGGTATCAGGTAAGGATGGTAAACTAATTGATGAAGTAGTGAATCTTCATCATTTGAAGTGGTTGGGACATGTGTTACACATGCCCAACCACAGAATACTTTAATGGGTGATGTTGTCTGGTGTATGAGTAGGCTAGAACAAAACTATGGACAGCCAAACAAAACATGGCACAAATCTATGAAGTCACTGACAGCTGGGCTGAGCCATGTTATGAGGTGTAGACTACTTGATTGGGGTCCCTTAGACCATGATAACCGATGGTTAGAGAATGTGAATGGCATGGCTTAAAATCGTTTGCAATGGCATATGTGTATTCATTCTTTGTTTTCTCTCAAATTCTAATCTTTTGAATTCCTCATGACCGCTTTTTCTCTTTTCAAATTTATTTCACTGGACTATACTTGTTGAATAACATCTTTGAACCCTAATACCCTCCATTACTTCTACTACCTCTACTACTATAGGATTTGAATTACCAATTCCATCTCTCTGTGCTAATGTGGTACAGTAACTTGAACTGATGTAAGTACCAAGTTCTACGTTGTAGCTAACTGACTGACTGACTGAATGTTATCAAGTAGAAACATAAAATGAAAGTCAAACGTGTCACTGTGGTTGATATTTAACACTATTCAGTATAATTATCACTAAATGGCAAAACACAGAAATTTAGATATTTATCTCTAGGAAATCAGCAGTTTCGTTTTAATCAATAATACAGGTTATTACAGTCTTACCTGGAGCTGAAGTTAATTTAGACTTTGTTTGCAATAGTATTTTTCCATCTACAGAGAAGACTGGAAGAGTGTATTGTTCAAAAAACACTATATTATCACGATTATGTCCGAAATAATCAAATGATTTGAAATATTGTACAGTTGTTTCTTTTGTATGCTCAGAAGTCATGATATACCTAAATAAGAATGAAAACTTAATTGTGGGTTTCATAACACAAATATATGTACAAATATTGACTGATTATTGGATAGTAATTAAGAACATGAGTGCCTAATATTCAGTGATTATCGAATTCTAATGAAAAAAACTGTAACATGATTACTTATCTGCTTGACTTAACATGATGTACAAAAATTTTTGGTGCTAAGCGGTTGAAGTTAAAATTTGATCAGCAGCACAAGCCTAACTAGACAGTAATCAGCCGGTGTGAAAATTGTAAACTTACAGAAGATCGATTGCAGACCGAATAGTTCAATGGTAACGTGTTTAACCGTGACGTTATTTTTGCAACAATTTTCCCCATACTTCCAGACATACTTTGGTCACCAGTGTTAACTATGTTCGTTATTTCTTGCTGATTGTATCCAAACGATTGACAATAATATATTTTTTTCTAGTGGGGAGTGAAGGAGTGATCAATCCACCTACGATCTTAACAAAAATCGACGGGTCAGTCAGTTTTGTTTCCTTTACAAAGTACAGTGGAAGCAAATATTTTACATGCAGCTGGTATCAGATTTGTGACGCGATAACTATCACGTGTTTAAGATAGAAACTTAAAAATAAAGAATAATCGCTTCATTTTGGTGAAATGGAACAGTTTGTACGATAAATCTCTTCCTAAGAAGAGAGGTGTTTGACTTGAAATCCAGATTCCTTTTTTATAAGGAATGGAGCTGGGTTATCTGGGGCTAGTGTCATATAACACTTTGAAAGCTGTATTTCCTTATGAACCACCACTTCGTTAAATAACTTAGTGGGCACTATCACAGGATGACGGTTGAGATGTCCTGCAAAATGCTGGAATCAAAGTTCGAGATTTCGTTGAATGTTGCTAACTAGAGTGGCATCAACTTCGTAGATTATTTTAATGATACCAGACTTCTTGCTGGCAGTGACTCAAAAGATAAGAAATAGCCTTCGACGGTTGCTTCCAGTCCTTAAAATTTAATTGCCAGGTTTTACAGTATTTTGTGAGATTTTATGCGAAAGAGATATACATGCACCGTGATATTTAGGACCTGCTGGAACAGAAATCGTACGAATTCTAAAAAATAATGCTCACAAACGAGATATTTTTGTAAACGCAGCCGTTGCTTATTATTACTTTTCAGTAAGTCAACAGCTATCCTTCAATCTAGCTCCACTTGATATTTGATTAAAACTGAGAGTGTAGGTAACTTATAGCAAGCAGTTTAAGACAGTAAATCTGTTTACGTCTAGAACGCAAGATGAAGTGGATGTACACCGGAATATGGTCAGGATCCAGATAGATGCTTCTAAGAGACAAGTAGTTGTATACATATTCATCTCATCGGTAGCTAGTTTCAAAATGACCGATTCGAGTCCACATTTGGGGTGCATAGGAATTCTTATCGTTTCTAAGGTTTGGTGTGTCATATGAATGATTCGTCATTTTTATTTTTCTCACTGGTAACTACTACATTTATGAAGACTGTAATATTCTCTGGATGCCCGAAAATTCTTTTCCTCAGGATGCTGGGGTAAATACGAACCAGTAGTTTTGTGTCGAGATTTTTAACTCAGCTATCTAAATCATCAGTATTTACTAATCTAATTTAGATGCCAGATGCCCAGTTTTGAACTCTTTTGTAGAAACACTACTACTATGTGAAGGTAGTGAGTTGATCTTTCCTAGAGGAGGCTGAAAATGTGAGATAATATGTGGATTTTGAAAAAAGGACCAGGTTCTTTCAACCTGCAGCTATCTCAACCAAAACGATATCAGACCACTTTGCTGATAACAAGTTTTCAAATGAAATTTTAGAAGATATGTGTTTAATGATATATGTTTACAAAACAGATAACCGTTGATTTAAATCAAACTTGCTTCTCACCAAGTTATTGAAGGAGTTTTACCAAATGTTTCTTTACATATTTGAGAAACGCGAAGAAGACGCTCAGCTTGAAGTTGGTATAATGAACGACCTGATGGCAAATTCGGCTTATACAACCCTTTAGGATAGGGAACACCAAGCCGTGTCCCTTGGCCACCCGCTAACAATAGGACCGCCACTTTATTTTCACTGACTGCCTTCAAAGCTTGAAATATCACATCGGATAACGAAATAATAGCTTACCAGTATTGAAATAGCGTTCCAGTAAAAGAGGCTGTGAAGTGCGCAACTCCGCTAGAGATCCGCAAACTTTTGGGTCAGGTGGCAGGAGTTTATCATCGAGTCCCGAAGAGCAATCGGGAGGAGCCTGTCGTAAAAGTAATGAATATCTTTTATTTGTTTTCAATAGTGTCACACTTTATTAAACATAAAACACTACAAAAAAGTACAGTAGGCTTGATATTCTCCTGAGTATTCACTAAAAATCACTGAGTGAAGAAAGTTAATTTGTGATGCGACACAAAGATAGTTAACAAGACATAATTTATGGAAGGAAACGAAACAAACTGCATGGATCGTTGTATATCTCTCTACAGAATAAGAGTTACTGTATTAATAGTCGCTTACCAAACAGAAAAGTACTTGAAGTACAGATGACATTACAGAACGATATTTAAGCAGATTAAACCAGCCAGTAAACTTGTGGACTGATGATGACACAAAGATGGAAGGCACAAAAGTCTATATTCATCGACTTTCTAAGGATTATTTAGATAATTTTGTGAAAAGTCATGATTCCGAGTAGAAGTTCTACTCAACAGACAAGATAGTTGGTAGATCATTGGTTTAGAAACTAAAAGTTACAGGGTTTTATCGTATATACATACATATATCTTCATATATTATATCAAAGATCTACAAAGCTGAAAGTTAAAAGCTTTGAGGATGAATTGTTATTACATAAACGATGTGAAATACAAAATGGAAATGAACACCTGAACCAAATAAATGCTAAGTTCCACAAAATTTTGGACATTATTAGCCTTAAGACAGGTGGAATCATAATAAGTTGACCCGAACTAATGTGTAAAACAACTTTTCTTTGAAATAAAATGAAAGGCTTTTTATAAAGATTTTAGAAAGTGTTGGGAGAATTGTTTAAAAATGATAACCTGACAACCATACGGTTACCCTAACACGCTAGTTAAAACTAATTTAAATGCACTTATGGCGTAGGCGAGATATCCGTTCGCTGACGAAAGGACGAGTGTACTGCGCAGTAGTTCGCTCCGTCTTACTTTATGGAACATAACCAGTGAGAGTAGAAGATATTCGTAGGTTACTGGTTTTCGATCATAGGTGTCTTCGAAGCATTGCTCGTATATCGTGGGACACCCGAGTGAGCAACGCTGTTATTAGGAATCAGGTGCTAGGTAAGAATGGCAGATCACTAGACGCAGTAGTGACACTTCATCAGTTGAGGTGGTTGGGACATGTGTTGCGTATGCCCAACCACTGACTGCCTCGTCGAGCTTTGTTTTGTAGTGTAGGAATAGGTTGGAAGAAAGTTAGGGGCGGCCAAACCAAAACATGGCACAAATCTATGAAGTCATTGACGAGTGGACTTAGCCATGTCGGTAATTGTCGACTACCTGGTTGGGGTCCGCTAGATGATAATAATCGATGGTTAGAGACCCTGAATGAAATGGCTGAAAACCGTTTGCAGTGGCGCCGGTGTATTTATTCTTTGTGTTCTCTCGAATCCTAATCTTCTGGGTTCTTCAACCCCTCTAGTTTTGACTTTCTAAACTTTTCTCACTGAATCATACTTCTTGAATAATATCTTCTGATCCTAACCTCTCCGATTACTTCTAATACCCTTACTAACTCTTCTACTATTGGATTTGAATTGACAATTACATCTCTGTGCTGATGTGGTATGGCGACATGAACTGATGTACTTACGTACGAAGTTCTACGTTGCAACTGAATGACTGACTGATATTATCCTTCAAAAAGTACTGGTTTGTGGAGAGCCATTCGAATTTTTTGCGAAAAATTCAACACTATTTGTTGGACGTTTACTAGTACTGGTGGAGGTGAACATTAGCTAAGCTTACCATCTATTGACTTGGAAGTAAACAAACCCTAGTTGTGGTTTTAAGAGTCAGTTTCATATAAGTAGGTAACTATATAAAAAAGCTTGGTTGAAAAAAAATAGCATGTTCCAATTCTAGAAAGATCAAGATAAATTGAACAGAAGTAAAAAATGCCACAACAAAGCACTATCATCAGGTAAGTTTATTTAATTAGAGTGACATGTTAACTATATGTCAAGTTTTGAAGACCGAAAGCAACTGGAAAACAATGAAGATGCATAAATATTCATACAGGAAATGAGATCAATATTAAATACAAACTTTTCATTGAAAAGGCCTTATTTACGGAATACGTGAACTGGCAAGACTGATGAACTCCCACACTATTATAAATAACATGTAAAACAACCTTAGCACGATTCAGACTCGAACACTGCGTTCGGGCTGAGAAACTGTTACAGAGTAGTTTAAAACGTTGAACCTCTACTCTATCCTACCGTAGATTAGGTGCTCTGGTTTTGATATACAGAATAATGAGTGATTTTAGGTACAATATACTTTCTTATTTCTGCTAGACCAAAGCAGGCAAGTGGAAATAGTCAGCGAGTAGAAAAGCCGAAAACAACCAAAATAAATGTGGCATTTAGGTTGTCACACCGTCATCAAATCTAAAGACCTATTACCAAAAGGCGTGATGTCAGAGATTTCCACTGAGTTCAATAGGGGACCAGACACTTTCAGAAGGCTTCTAATAAAGGAATAACACAAGCCATAGGCCTTCTATCCTCAACAAAAATCTGAATCTAAAGTCACATATATTTGTCGACAACTCTACTCGCAATATGAAGTAACGATAAAAGAATTTATACAATCTTGAGAGCGTATTTAACTGTCATGTATTTAGAATAAATAATTTTCTACTATATAATCAAAGTAACAACTCACATTTTTGAATGCAAATACAATTACAAAGGACTTACATCCGTGATGCGACTGACAGCAGAGAAATTTATCCTAGAAATATCATCAAGAAGTTCAGACTGTTCCTCTGTATTAAGTTCATCCCAGAAAGTGTATAAATGATCCTGTCCATAGCGGTCAACATCAATTCTAGCTGCATCAGACATCATAATCTGCACGCGAAATGACCTAGACAAATCAATTTGTGAACATGCAAAGTAGGCCAACAAAACAAATGCTTTCTTTTGAAGTCACTTAGTAAAATACTGTTTCTCTTTTGATATTGTCGTAATAAAGTTTCAACTATCTAATAAAAATGCGGAATAAGCCCTTTAGTTTTTTCATAAAGCTTTGTAAAGCCAGAGAGATCCAATATCCAATGACTTTTTCACGAGCTGGTGTAAACCAGTTGATTTCTTGTTCTTTCGGTACGGTTCCAGCTGTTTGGTAGAATCCGATGAATGGGGGTCTAGCCACTCGACTGTCTAATTCAAGGCAGTTGGTTGAGAGTTTGCACGTCTCGTGATTTGAATGAAAATGTTTGTTTCAGAGCAGTAGGGTTTCTGGGTACCAGCAGCTATTACATCACCAGACCGGAGATCACTTAGTTGCAATGTGGAGAATAGTAACGAGAAAATTCTAATGCTAATATGAATAAAATTTCAGAACTAAGTAATACACTTATAATTTCGTTTATTATTTGGTAGTGAAGATTGTGAAGTGTTAGCAATGGAGAGGAAACAGAAATAATAGGTGATATAGAATAATTGAGTGATCTGAGGAGATGGCACTGATAACAACTAGCAGGTCTCAAGATATGCATCAGGCACAGCTCGTCCAAAAGGGAGATGATAATCCGTATGTGAGTACGTGTTTATCAAGTCTCTTCTTAGAGCTGTCCACTCTGAGGGGGCCGTGGTCACCTCGGCTGGGAGAGCACTCCAAGTTGCACCGACTCCTAATGGGAAAATGTGTGCACGAACCTGATTATTTGCTCTTTGATGCGCAATGTTTCGAGGATTACCTCTAGGGGAGTGATGGTGATGCATCGGTAAGATACTCAAGTCGGGATGGTTTGGTGTGCTTCATATGTTGTACGTCATAATAAGAACACCTCTGATTCTCCTGTAAATTAGGGGAAGTAATCCAAGGTGTTGGAGTCTATATTCGCAAGGTCTGTTCTTCAACAGTATTACCCATTCGGTTGCTTGTCTCTGCACTCGATCCCAGAGATTTATGTCTCTTTTAAGCAGAGGGGGTGTGATGATGTTTTGAACCTCCAGGTGGTGAGGCGCTTATGTCATAAATAACGTTAAGACTAACTGTGAGGCGACGGCATAAAGTGAAGAGTCTCATTTGCCTTGGCTGAGTCTCCTATATAGTTCAGGCTTGTGTGGAGGCTTTCCGCGGCTATTAAACCGAGATTGCGCTCTGAGGACATATTAGGGCGCGAACTTCCATTGAGGGTGTAAATCGTTTGCGTCGTGTGGGGCAGAAAGTACACTTCGGTTGGTTTTTTTAAAACCGTTTTACACTGCCCATCGCTCAATGGATTTAAGGTCCTTTTGAAGCTCAGTCGAATCTTCTTCTCTTCTTACAGACCTTAAGCTCCTAGCGTCGTTAATAAATATCAGGAGTAGAACGGGACATATGATGGTCCCATGTGAAACTCCCGATGTGGATACTCGCCAGCTCGCACGCACTCTCTTTACCTTGGCTCGAAAATTTCTATTCTCAAGATAGTTTCTGAGCCAAGATACGAGTGGGTCAGTGAAGCCCATTTCCGCAGCCTTTGTGATTGGGCGTGTGTCAATACTGTGTCGAAGGCTTTTGCAAGGTCGAGGAATATTAAGTGCACCGGTATTTTTCGGTCCAAGCAGGATGTCCAATAGGAGAGAGAACAGCTTGTTTCGATTCAGCCGGGATTAGATAAGACCCCAGTGAATGCCTGAACAGGTTACATATTGGTGAACGGACGGCTTCCGCACATTGTTCCAAGACTATGGGGCGAATATTATCACAACCTGGTGACTTTGCTGGGGGTAAGTATGTTAGTTTCCTTAGTACAAAGTCAGGAGTGATACGGATGTTCCCTTACCCATCAGCCGGCGCCGGGTTCGCGTAGTACTCTGAACATGTGGGTGCCTGGTTTAACTGCTAGATGAAGTTTGTGTTGAAGATCTCAGCCATCACTAGGTTTGTGCGGTCTTCCCTATTCGAACCTTTGAGGGAACACAAACCCTGGTTCGTAGGTTCTCTTTTAGTAACGAACCTAAACAGATGCTTGGGGTTAGCCTGTTTTTGGCAGCTAGCTTCATCTGAGACATAGCTACATCATCCATCAGGAGGGTCGCTTAGCATCAAAGACTAGCAGTGCTCACCAGTCGATTGCAAAGCGTTAACTTGCTCACCCAACTGTCTCTTCTGCCTATTTTTATTAATGCATTTACTAGGAAATCGTGCCTTTCCTATCTGAAACGAGTTTCGTTTGCCTATATAATAAATGATCGGGAACGTAACTTACCTTAATTCAGAAAGAACTCTGCTAGCACAGTCGAACGTATTCTATTTGGAATTCGAATCAGGCAAAGAATAATGTATGAAGGGATCATTGATGTATACAAGCATCACGAAGTGTTGGTGATACTTGTCTGTTACAAGTTCTATGAAAAACCTTTATCTGTAAACAGACGTCTTTTCACGCAAGTATTTTACTTTTAAAGCTTATCTACGATACGAAAACGTTGGTTACTTTGAAAAGGTAAGAACTAAAAGCTAAAACTTTGGCGTGCACTCATTAGTCAGAAACGTATGTAAAAGTGTCCACCACGAAGCAGATATTTCTGTACGTTTTCCCTCTATTCGCACTACGTTTCCGTAAAATATCTCCTTTATTTCTTGTGAGTTTGACTTAATTTTCCCTTTTTTGCCTACTGAGGTAAGTCTTCCGTTCATTTCTTTAACCAACAGGCTTCAACGACAAATGACCTACCAGCGCAAATCAAAATAAATACATAACCACTTGGTTTTAGAAAGGCTGCTTAATCAACTCAAAGTAAGTAGCTCAAATATCCCTTATTTTATACGCGGCTCTTATTAGATTAAACGTTCAGAAGCAACCTCGAACCGTAGTTATTCGAAGTCGGGTCAGTCAATACGATAAATTGAGGCCGATGTGATTTGGATTCTGTGTTTCTTCCCACTGAGTGCGAGACACTCTTTCTTAAAAAACAAACACTACCATAAGAGTTAGAATATAATTTCTGAACTCTAATACATCATAAAACAGTATTAGAATTTTCCTAGAAATTTAAAGTAGCATTTCACCTACCGATATTATATTTTTCAAAAGCATCGTACACATGAAGTCTGATTTTGTAGTTTTTACTCTAGATAATTTGTTATACCGTGTGATCGGCTTGTTATAAAGTGTGTATAAACCACAGTTTGAAAATATTAAAATTTATTAATTAAAATTAATTAAAAATTTCATAAAAAGTTTAGAGGATGCTTTAGATTCGATGGCCAGTTTACGATTTCTTAGTGACGGTAAATTAAACACGTTGGGCTCACAATTTTATGCGGATGAGTTACGTTTGGCTTCTGGCGAACCGCTTTGTAGCTGCGTTGGATTCTAAGTAGAGGTCACTTTTCAGTGGCTCGTGATCCAGTGTGGACGAACAGCCAGATATGATATGAAATAAATCTCCCCTTCAATATTTAGGCGAACCCCGTTCGTACGATGGCGATAACTAGAAGCCAAATATGGATTCCGTTGGATAAGTTTATTTCAAGCAGTGGTTCATGCAGGAATAGACGAGAACACATAGCTTGAAAGCGAAGCGAAACGAAGTGGAGAATGCTGGCGGGCCAAATGACTGAGCTGAAGCATGACTCAGCATTTATAGTCCGACAGAAACAAGTGAAGTAAGCTGTTCACAAACACAGAAAAATCCAATACAAAAGCGAGTATTTGACATGGTCAAGAGAGGATTGAATAGTAACTTGTATAGAACGGATTAGTTAGCTTGTTCGAGGACTTGGGACAAGCCCAATTGGCTCGGCATAAATGTACGCGCACTACAAGTCAAACCTTTCTAAAATAAATGGGTACATTTTTAAACTACTTATTATCAGTAAGTAGCATAACTTTAAGAAACAAAGTAATATTTCAGGAATAAGTGAACTAACGAGACGATTTTTTGGCAGTTTCATGTTTCGATAAACTACATACTTTTGTTAGATATATACGAGCATCTTAATTTTATATAATGCTTTACCATCACTGTTGGACATGTATGCTTTCTTTAAGTTAGACCTAATTTACTAACGAAACTAGTTTCTTACTTACGATAATAAGCAAAAAATTTAATGTCATGAACAGCAACCTCTTTTTCATTACATCTTTTCAACGAACGATTAAGATTTGTTATGATTCTGAGTATTGCAGAAGGTTTTGTAACTGGAACTACTATTCTTACTTTTGAATGAGCTGTATGATGATAGGGAATAGCTACCTACTCATATTACTTATAGTATCCAATTACAAGCTTAGAAAATAAGGAATTTATTTCAGTGCTAAATGGAAGTCATTCTTCTATGTGGAATGCTGCTCAAAGTTTTACTACAAATCTTCTGCAATGTGTAGAATAATTTAACTACATTAGCTTGATATTAACTATGCGAAGTTGATCATTTGTTGATAATATGTAAAACAATCTCCTGGATCAATACATTTTTCGAATAAATTTTGTTTTACTCCAAATTTCGGTAATTTAAACATTCCAAAGTGTTGTCAGTTTTTGGGTTATTAAAAAATAGTTTGGATTCCTTGATTTCAGATTTCTGTTTACTCTGACATTGTAAACTGACAATAAGTATATTTTAAGCGATATCTTCACATAATCTGATCAGATGATATAACAGTGTTTAGCTGCACACATGGTTTTGGATTAGAAGATTTTTATACAATGATTAAGACCATGTATGTTCAAATTACAAAAAACTATACTGGTCAGTTTGAAAGATCTCATAGATTCTTGGAATAAAAAGTTTCGATAACCTCGAACTTATAACAGGTTGTTATTATACACTTTATAGCTAAGTTACATGTTTTCCCACTAGACTGAACGGATGATGTCTTAAAGAAAGAAGGACATCTCATCAAGGTACCAAAGAAAGGGGATCTCATCAAGTGTAACAACTACAGAGGCATCACTCTT